GGAAATTTGGGGGGGTGGAGGAAATGTGGGGGTTTGGGGTGGAATGAGAGGGTTTGGGGGTAGAAATTAAGGTTTTTTTAGGGGAAAATGAATGAGTTTTGGGGGGTGATGAAGAGGTTTGGGGGAAATTAGGAGGTTTGGGGGGAATTTGGGAGTTTGGGGTGAATGAGGTTTTGAGGTGGAATGAGAGGGTTTGCAGTGGAATGAGAAGATTTTGGGGTGGAAATGAGTCCATTTGGGGAGAAAATGAGTCAACTTTTGGGTGAGCTGGGTCAATTTTGGGATATTTTTGCCCTGCTGATCCCTGTGCCCGGGCAGAACTTCGCGGCACAGATGGCAGGAGGCTTCGATGAGAAGGCTGGAGGAGCTCAGATGGGTGTCATGCAAGGCCCCATGGTGAGGACCACCCTGGGATCCCCAAACCCTCTGTCCCTGCTGACCTGCACCAACCAGCCCCAGTTTGGGGGTTCCTCTACCTCATCTCCCCCCATGACACTGTTGTCTCTGCTCCTCCAGGGCCCCATGGGACCACGTGGACCTCCTGGACCTTCTGGATCTCCTGTAGGTAGCTCCTCCATGGCACTGCTGGAAGTTTTCCCTTCCCCATGTGTTTTTTTTGAGGTTCTCTAGGTGGGCACAATTCCACACCTCATTGTCTCTTCCAGGGTCCCCAAGGGTTTCAAGGCAATCCTGGAGAACCTGGAGAACCTGGAGCTGCTGTGAGTGTCTTCCAAGTGTCCAGATGGGACATGTGTCACCTTGGGGACATGTCCTCCTACCTCAAGGACCCCCCACCCATTGCCTCTCCATCTCCTTTAGGGTCCCATGGGACCTCGAGGACCACCAGGACCTCCTGGCAAACCTGGGGATGATGTGAGTCCTTTGCTGCACTGGTGTCAACACAAGACCCAACAACTCATTGCAGCAGTGGCCAAAAAGTGATGTTTTTTCCCCACTTTTTTTTCGGTTTTTTTTCCCCCTCTCTCCCACCTCATTCCTATGCAGGGTGAGACAGGCAAACCTGGGAAATCTGGAGAACGTGGCCCACCTGGTCCTCAGGTGAGTCTTGGGCCAACTTCCTTGGGATAAAGACCTTCCTGGTCTTTCCTTCACCCTCAGCTTGATGTTTCTCCACCTGTCACAGGGTGCTCGAGGTTTCCCTGGCACTCCTGGACTCCCTGGAGTGAAGGGGCACAGGGTAAGTGTGGGTGACCTCACCTGGAGTCACCTCCAGAGGTGGCACCTGGTGGCACAGAGGGTGATGTCCCCATGTCTCTTTCCACAGGGATATCCTGGTCTGGATGGGGCCAAAGGAGAGGCAGGAGCTCCTGGAGCTAAGGTGAGTGTGGTGACCACCACTGTGGAGATAGAGGTGGTCAAGGTGACCATCATTGTGGTGGTAGAGGTGGTTGGTGACCATCCCTGTGGAGATAGAGGTGGTCAAGGTGACCATCATTGTGGTGGTAGAGGTGGTTGGTGACCATTCCTGTGGTGGTAGAGGTGGTCAAGATGACCATCATTGTGGTGTGGTGGTAGATTGGTGACCATCCCTGTGGAGATAGAGGTGGTCAAGGTGACCATCATTGTGGTGGTAGAGGTGGTTGGTGACCATTCCTGTGGTGGTAGAGGTGGTCAAGATGACCATCATTGTGGTGGTAGAGCCCTGTGGAGATAGAGGTGGTCAAGGTGACCATCATTGTGGTGGTAGAGGTGGTTGGTGACCATTCCTGTGGTGGTAGAGGTGGTCAAGATGACCATCATTGTGGTGGTAGAGGTGGTTGGTGACCATTCCTGTGGTGGTAGAGGTGGTCAAGATGACCATCATTGTGGTGGTAGAGGTGGTTGGTGACCATTCCTGTGGTGGTAGAGGTGGTCAAGATGACCATCATTGTGGTGGTAGAGGTGGTTGGTGACCATTCCTGTGGTGGTAGAGGTGGTCAAGATGACCATCATTGTGGTGGTAGAGGTGGTTGGTGACCATTCCTGTGGTGGTAGAGGTGGTCAAGATGACCATCATTGTGGTGGTAGAGGTGGTTGGTGACCATTCCTGTGGTGGTAGAGGTGGTCAAGATGACCATCATTGTGGTGGTAGAGGTGGTTGGTGACCATTCCTGTGGTGGTAGAGGTGGTCAAGATGACCATCATTGTGGTGGTAGAGGTGGTTGGTGACCATTCCTGTGGTGGTAGAGGTGGTCAAGATGACCATCATTGTGGTGGTAGAGGTGGTTGGTGACCATTCCTGTGGTGGTAGAGGTGGTCAAGATGACCATCATTGTGGTGGTAGAGTTGGTCAGGGTGACCATCCCATGGTGTAAGTGTGGTCAGGGTGACATCCCATGGTGTCGGGGTGACCATCCCATGGTGTCGGGGTGACCATCCCATGGTGTCAGGGCCATTGGGGTGACTACCCCATGGTGTCAGGGCTGTTGGAGTGACCATCCCATGGTGTCACGTGACATCCCATGGTATCAGGACTGTTGGGATGACCACCCCATGGTGTCAGGACCCTTGGGGTGGTCACCCCATGGTGTCAGGACTGTTGAGATGACCATCCCATGGTGTCAGGACCCCTGGGGTGACCACCCCATGGCCCTGGTGTGGTGCTCACCTCTGTCCCTCTCCGCAGGGCGAGTCGGGGTCCCCTGGCGAGAACGGCTCTCCTGGGCCCATGGTAAGTCCCTGGCTGGGGCAGGAGAAACTGAGGCACTCAGGGGGTGGGGGCAGCACCCTGAGCCTCACCCATCACCTCTGTTCCCACAGGGTCCTCGGGGGCTGCCTGGGGAGAGAGGACGTCCTGGACCCTCCGGAGCTGCGGTGAGTGGGAGGTCACCTGTGGCTTCCTGGTGGTACCTTGGTGGCACTTGTGTCTCCAATGGCACCTTGGTGGCTTCCTGGTGGCACCTGTCTCTCCTATGGCACCTTGGTGACAACCTGGTGGCACCTTGATAGCTCCTTGATAGCTCCTTGGTAGCTCCTGGGTGACACCTGTGTCTCCAGTGGCTTCCTGGTGGCATCTTGGAAGCTTCCTGGTGGTACTTTTATCCCCAGTGGTACCTTGGTGGGATCCTGGTGGCACCTGTGTCTCCAGTGGTACCTTGGTAGCTCCTTGGTAGCTCCTTGGTGGCACCTTGGTGGCACCTGTGTTCCTGGTGGCTCCTTGGTGTCCCCAGTGGCACCTTGGTGGCATCTTGGTGGCATCTTGGTGGCACCTCAATAGCACCTCAATAGCTCCTCGATAGCTCCTCAATAACTCCTTGGTGGTACCTCGGGGACACCTGGTGGCCCTTGGTGTCCCCCTGGTGCCCACCCTGACTCTCCCTGTGCCCCCTCAGGGTGCCCGAGGCAACGATGGTCTCCCCGGCCCCGCTGGACCCCCGGTAAGTGCAGAGTGCTGACCCCCAGTGCCCCTGGTGTCCCCCAGTGCCCCCAGTTCCCCCTGACACTGCTCTCCCCGCAGGGTCCCGTGGGTCCTGCCGGTGCCCCCGGATTCCCTGGCGCCCCTGGATCCAAGGTGAGGGCAGGGAATCGAGTCCGGAGGGAGGGAGGGATAGAGGGATCTGTGGCCCCAAGACCCTTTCCCCTCACATCCACTTTTTGCTCACTCATTTTTACCTCGATCCATTTTTCCTCACCCCTTTTTCCTCCCTCTCACCCCC